TAATCTACAGATTTAACACAATTTTTATTAAAATGCCAATGGCATATCTCACAGATCTAGAACAAATATTCCAAAAAATTTATGTGGAACCACAAAAGATCCCAAATAGCCACAGCAATTTTGAGGGGGAAAAAAGAACAAAGTTGTAGGTATCACACTACCTGATATCAAACTATACTACAAGGCCATAGTAATCAAAGCAACATGGTATTGTCACAAGAACAGGGATATAGATTAATGGAATAGAATAGGGAGCACAGAAATAAGCCCACACCTTTATGGTCAATTAATATTTGACAAAGGAGGCAAAAACATACAATGAGGTAAAGACAGTCTCTTCAGTAAATGTTGTTGGGAAAATTGGACAGAAACATGCCCAAAAAATGAAACTAGACCACCAATTTTCACCATATACAAGAATAAACTCAAAATGGATTAAAGACTTAAATGTAAGTCACACAACCATAAAAATCCTAGAAGAAAACATAGGCAGTGATGGGCATGCCTCCTGTCTCTAGCACCTTGTGAGTATAATGAACTTTGTTGTTCCTGAGCCCCTACTCTGTCTCCCTTTGTGACCACACCTGACTGACCATTTCACAAAAGAATACAAAACACTCACTTCCTACAATTTATCTGTAACTTCCAAGTTAAAACCTGAAACACTTTCTTTTTTTAAAATATGTTTTTATTGATTTTAGAAAGGAAAGGAGAGGGAGAGAGAGAAACATCAATGATGAGAGAGAATCACTGATCGGCTGCCTCCTGCACGCTCCCCACTGGGGATCGACCCCACAACCCAGGCATGTGCCCTTGACTGGAATTGAACATGGGACCCTTCAGTCACAGGCCAATGCTTTATTCACTGAGCCAAACCAGCCAGGGCCTGAAACACTTTCACAGTCATTCAGGGACAGGCACCTTTGCAGAGTTGTGAAAATTTAAATCACTCAACAACATATTCCCATCTAAGTTTGAATAAGGCAATGCTCTGTCTTCTGGTTTTAGCTCAAACTGTAAAATGGGGTCCTTTTTGCAGTTATTTATTGCCATGTTTTCTGCATTTTTGTGGTTTTTGTTGGTAATTTCACTGTTTAAAGTGGCCCCAAGCATAGTACTAAAGTACTGCCTACTGTTCCTAAGTTTGAGAAGACTGTGATGTGCCTTGTAGATAAAATATGTGTGTTAGATAAGCTTTGTTTAAGTATGCATTATAGAACTGTCAGCTGTGAGTTCAATGTTAATTAATCAATAATAGATATTATGTAAGGTGTCTTTAGAAAGAACACACATAAAACAAGGTTCTGCATTGATCAGTCTCAGAGCAATATTTTTGCTGATATAATTCCTTGGGCAAGGAAGCAAAGGAAACAATAAACAAATAAACTACATCAAACTAAAAAGCTTTGCACAACGAAAGAAATCATCAACAAAATGAAAAAGAAACTTACTGAATGGGAGAACATATTTGCCAATGAGACATCTGAAAAGGGGTTATAATCCAAAATATATAAACAACTTCTACAACTCAACACCAAGAAGACAACCCAATAAAAAAAATGGGCACAGGACCTGAATAGACACTTTTGCAAAGAGGACACACAGATACCAATAGACATTTGAGAAAATGTTCAACATCCCTAATCTTCAGAAAGATGCAAATTAAAACCACAATGAGATACCACATCATGCCTGTTAGAATAGCTACATTAATAAATCAACAAACAACTGTTGGTGAGGATGTGGAGAAAAAGAAATCCTTGTGCACTGTTGGTGGGAATGCAGACTGGTACAGCCACTGTGGAAAACAGTATGGAGTTTCCTCAAAAAATTAAAATGGCACACCTTTTGGCTTAACAATCCCATTTCTGGGAATGTATCTGAAGAAGCCTGAAACACTAATTTGAAAGTATATATCGTTGCAGCATTATTCACAATAGCCAAGATCTGGATACAGCCTGAGTACCCATCTGTGATGAGTGGGGGTGTGGGGGGAAGCTGTGGTGCATTTACACAGTGGAATACTACACAATCATAAAAAAGAAGAAAATTTTATGGATGGACCTGGAGATTATTACGCTAAGTGAAATAATCCAGTAAGAGTAAGACAAATACCATATGATCTCACCTATATGTAGAATCTAATGAACAAAATAAACAGACAAATAAAATGGATACATGGAATAGACTGACAGCTGTCAGAAGGAAAGTGTTGGCTGGATGAAAGAAGGTGAAGAGGTTAAGCAAAATCATATATATAACACATAGACACAGACAACAGTATGTGATAGTCAGAGGGAAAGGGTATGCGGTGGTAGGTAAAGAGGAGAAAATGGGCACAGAATGAGACTTTGCATACATACAATGCAGTGTGCAGATGATGGTTTGTTGAATTGTACACTTGAAACCTGTATGGTTTTGTTAACCAATGTCATCCCAATAAATTCAATTTTAAAAGAATTAATCAATCCAACAGATTAATACAGAAAAGAAAAAAATAACAGGAATAAATAGGAAAAAAGAAAAAAACTGGGCAAATAGAAAGCACAATGTAATTCAGCAGAAAATAATGCAAGTACATTAATAATCACTATTAGTATAAATTTGTTAAAGGCCTTGTTAAAATGAAGGTTGTTAGAGTAGATTTTTAAAATATAAATAAATACCACTCCAGAGAATTTTGACACAAAAAAAGACTGGTAAAAATGCACCCAGAAAAATGTTAACCAACAAAACCTGGGATAGCTGTTTTGATATCAGGCAAAGCAAACTTTAAGACCACAAAAAAATGTTGTTTTACATAAAGGGTTTGCAGTAAAATGATAAAAAAAAAGGGGGGGGACATTTATATGTACCTAGCACTCCAAATACATAAAGCAAAAATGGACAGATTTAAAAGGAGAAATTTACAAACCCACAACACAGTGGGAGATTAGCACACACTTTTCAACAACTGAGGAGTCAAACTAAAAATCAGTAAAATAAGGGAAGAATTGAAAAATAAGCATGATAATAATATTCTGTGCCCATGTAAAACTTTATCAAGTTCTTACAAATACCATCTTGACATCACCCTGATTAGAAAATAGAGAAGGTACACTAGTCTACCTCTCCTAAAACCAGAAACAGGAGTAAAGAATGTAACAATCCCAATCAAACAAGTTAGCAACAGAGGAGGAAGTGCAAACACTCCTTCCTGACACCAAGGCAAAACCTTTTTCCTATAAATCAAGCATTCTACAGCTCCCTAACTCCTTCTTCCTATTTTTGCTCTTACTGCCCAGTTCAAACATTGAGAAAATAGACTATGTTATTATTTATAAGTACTTCAAGCACTGTGGATAAATGAGTTTTATAAAAATATAAGCCATTCCAATTCATCTACAAGGCCAATCAGTTTTTCTTCCCATCCTGGTTCTCCACTTCCTCTGTAGATTATTTACACCCCTAAGCAACCTTGTGATGCTGAATTCACAGAAGAGACCAATAGCTCACATGGTCAGAGAAAGTGCAAGCTGGGCAGAATGCCATACACACGCTTCAGCGAGAGTGGGAAGGGAAATCACCATTTACTGGAAACGACACTCTGGTGGTTTTTGTTCACTAATCACCCTCTTTCCAAGACTCTGTCTAATCCTCCATTAGATGGAGCCAGTTCCAAGCTACAAAGCAAATAGACTGCTTCTTATGGTTTTAATCCCATGTACATTTAAGATGGCAGCCTTAACCACTGCCCAGGCCTGCAAGCATACCAGGGGGGCACCCTGCCTACTCACATGGGGGAGTTCCTGGGAGCATCAGCCAATCCCAAGGCCACCCCAAGATGGTATAGTGGGAACCCATGGGTCTGCCTATCTGGAGAAGGACACCAAGTGGACTCAGAGGACAGCCACCAGACACCGACACCAAGATGTTGTTTAGTCTAATGAACAAAATAGATCCAGAGACATAGAAGCATGGAACAGACTGTTGAACCTCAAAGGGAAGGCGTGGGTGGGAAGTGATCAAAGACCTTGTACGCATATATGCAAAACCCATGGACACAGACAATAGGGTGGTGAAGGCCTCAGGTGGGGGGTGGGGGTAGAATAGGCTAGAAGAGATCAATGGGGGGAAAGGGGACATATGTAATACTTTCAACAATAAAAATTAAGAAAAGAAAAAAATGTTGTTTAGTCCTGTGAAGCTTTGGCCTCAGGTGGGGAAGTTTTCTAGGAAGTTGAAAGGAGACAGTGCCCACAAACAAGAAAAGAAGCCAATGTTTACTGTCTCTCTTTCCAAATTTCTGCTTTAGGAATAAAATCCTAACTGGTATTCAGAGTAGATCCCAGGATGAACCAATCTCCCAACACCCACTGCTCACCTATCTCTCACCTTCTTGCCCACCAGTCTCTCTGGTCCTTGGTTCTCTCCATCCAAACCTCCTTTCTGTCTGAACCCTATGTTCTCCTCTCCTGCCACACATCACCTGTCTTGAATCTCCAGGATGCTCCCTTCTGAGCTGTGGTGTTTGCCACACTGAAAGTAGGCTCTGTTTCTATGTCTTTCCAAACTGTGAATGTCCTGTAGGAACAGGGACTACAATTTACCCATTGAATTCCTGAGGGCCCTGGCAATACC